CTAAGCTTTCCTGTCTTCTCATTATGTGGCCAAAGTACTTCATCTTTGCCTTTACTATCCTTCCCTCCAGTGAGTAGCCGGGCATTATTTCCAGGAGTATGGACTGGTTGGATCTTCTCGCAGTCCAAGGCTCTTTCAGAATTTTCTTCCAGCACCACAGTTCAAAAGTGTCACTTGTCCTTCGCTCAGCCTTCCCTAAGGTCCAGTTCTTGCATCCATAGGTTACTATGGGGAATATCATTGCTTTGACTATGCGGATCTTTGTTGCTAGTATGATGTCTCTACTCTTCACTATTTTATCGAGATTGGTCCTTGCTCTCTTCCCAAGAAGGAAACCCCACATTATCTGCTTTGAACTGGAATATATGACAGTCTGAACTCAGATAACTCAGTTCAAAGCAGATATTGTAGGATTTATTGCCTTGATATCCTGGCTATGTGGAAGGCCCCAAGTTCCACTGTATTAGAAAAAAACTCCTTTGGGAAGGCAAGATTCATGTGAATGCAAGATAACTAAAAAAAAGTTACATTTTCCGAGCTACTTGAGAGTTCCAGTTAATCGAAAGTTCCTGTTAACAAGAGAGTTTCAGTTAGCTGAGAGTTCTGGTTAACAGAGAGTTCCAGTTAACAGAGAGTTCCAGTTAGTCAAGAGTTTTGGTTAACAGAGAGTTCCAGTTAACTGAGAGTTCCAGTTAGTCAAGAGTTCTGGTTAACAGAGAGTTCCAGTTAACTGAGAGTTCCAGTTAGTCAAGAGTTCTAGTTAACACAGAGTTCCAGTTAACTGAGAGTTCCAATTAGCCGAGAGTTCTGGTTAACAGAGAGTTCCAGTTAACTGAGAGTTTCAGTTAGCTAAAAGTTCTGGTTAACAGAGAGTTCCAGTTAGCCGAGAGTTCTGGTTAACAGAGAGTTCCAGTTAACTGAGAGTTCCAGTTAGTCAAGAGTTCTGGTTAACAGAGGGCTCCCGTTAACTGAAATTTCCAGTTAGTAAAGAGTCCCTGTTAACAGACAGTTCCAGTTTCCTGAGAGTTCCCGTTAGTTGAGAGTTCCGGTTAACTGAGAGTTTCAGTTAGTCAAGAGTTCCTATAATCCTATATTTTTATATTGCTTTCAATTGTGTTGTTATTTGTTTTATCTGATGTTTTGATAGGTTAAAGTGTTTTACATGCGTGTTTTAATTGTAATCTTGGGCGTGTCCCTTGTAAGCTGCCCCGAGTCCCCTAGGGGAGATGGTTGGCGGGGTATAAAAAAATAAAGTTATTATTATTATTATATTCCTATTAATAGAAAGTTCCAGTTAACGGATAGTTCCAGTTATTTGAGAGTTCCAGTTAACAAAGAGTTGCGGTTACTCGAGAGTTCCACTTAGTTGAGAGTTCTGGTTAACTGAGAGTTCCAATTAAGAGTTTCTGTTAACAGAGAGTTATGGTTAACTGGTAGTACCAGTTATTTGAGAGTTCTAGTTAACAGAAAGTCCCGTTTATCAGAGAGTCCCGGTTGACAGAGAGTTCCTGTTAGTTGAGAGTTCCGGTTAACTGAGAGTTCTGGTTAACTGAGAGTCTACTATATTGAGCCTATCTGGGGGAATTGGGGAGTTGTGTTCTCCAGATTCCATTTCCCAAGCTCTCCGAGTATGCACTCTCTGTTTCTAATTTCTGCTCCGCCAGATCTCTCTTGACAGTTATTTTTTATGGCCGGCTCAATGGCTTGGACGGGGCTCAACTCTTGCACGGCTTTTTCTTTCTTTCTTTTTTCTTTCTGCGGTGAGATCTTTGTCCTGGACAGTCTGTTCGCTTGTCCTCCAGCTCTTACTCATTGCCAGGCTTTGCAAGCCGAGCGTAATGCCTGCACGGATTTCCAATCCGGCATTTGGTGATGTAAGCTGATATTTTAATTCTCTTACAAGGAATGGTGTTTAGAGGAATGACTTAAGTGGATTACTCATCTTCTGTAATAACTTGGCCGCGCGCCTGTTTCTATTCCTAGACATGACGCTGGAGGCTTTGATTCTTCTCCTTCTGCTCTCCCTCCCTCCCCTTCTGAGTTTTCTTTTCTTCTCATTTGCAAAATTTACGCTCATGTGTTTTGGTGGCGCTGAGTTCTGGGAAACGTGTCATCTAGTTTTCTGCCTGAAAGCTCAAACGTGATCTCCATAGAGGCCGAATGAACCATGTAACGTTGTAGCTAAACCAGAGTTCCTTCGGGTGCATCTACACTGCGGAATGAATGCAGTTTTGTACCAATATGACCGCCTGGGTCAATGCTATGAACTCCTAGGAGTTGTAGTCTTACAAGGTCTTTGACCTTCTGTGCCTCACCACAAACTACAGGATTCGATGGCAGTTCAAGTAGTGTCAAGCTGTATTCATTCTGCACTGTAGATGCTCCTTAAGAAACAAACATCCCATTATTTTCCTGAAAAAAGACCTTTGTTAGAAAGCCATTCATTCAAATAGTACAACCCCATGTACAGGCAGTCCCCAAGAGAAGTTGCGTAGGTTTGTTCTCAAGTTGAAGTCGGAACAGGGCATTTCTTAAATGAACTCCAGCCATAAATATACATATTTTAGCTATTTTAGTTCAACCCATTCCCTGGATTCGAATCGTCGACCTTTCAGTCAGCAAGTTCAGCAGCTCACTGGTTTAACCCACTGCGCTACTGGGGGCTCCTTAAAAGAGGCATGGGCCAACTTGAGCCGCCTCCAAGTGTTTTGGGCTTCAATTCCCACAATTCCTAACAACCTTGTGGGAGTTGAAGTCCAAAACACTTGAAGAAGGGCCGAAGTTGGTTTATACCTGCCTTAAAACCTTATCAAATCCATGGATTTGCTTGGTTCTTTCCCCCTCAAAATGCTGTAAGCATGGGGAAAGGTGACACTTTTGGACTGTCATTCCCAGCATCCCCGAGCCTGCGATGCTAGGAGTGACAATCCCAAAAAAACCCCCACACTTTTTCCCCATGCTCTCCTTTGCCAAAATATACTTTACTTACTTACTTAGGCGATCCCTCATTGGCTGAGTAGGATAGTCTTCCAGGATCAGTATTCTTGTGGGTCCGTAGGTGACTGTGGAGCCGTATTCTTGATCTGCATCTTCTTCCGCAGTGAGGGCATTGGTTTCCAGGTGGAAGGCTGTCCCAGTCGGGGTTGGCTTGACGCGCCTTCCTCTTGGCACGTTTCTCTCTTTCGCCCTCCATTCGTGCCTCTTCAAGTTCTGCAGCACTACTGGTCACAGCTGACCTCCAGCTGGAGCGGTCAAGGGCCAGGGCTTCCCAGTTTTCAGTGTCTATGCCAGAGTTTTTAAGGTTGGCTTTGAGCCCATCTTTAAATCTCTTTTCCTGTCCACCAACATTCCATTTTCCTTTCTTGAGTTCGGAGTAGAGCAACTGCTTTGGGAGATGGTGGTCAGGCATCTGGACAACGTGGCCAGTCCAGCGGAGTTGGTGGCGGAGGACCATCGCTTCAATGCTGGTGGTCTTTGCTTCTTCCTGCACGCTGACGTTTGTCTGCCTGTCTTCCCAAGAGCAAATTAAAAACAGTTGAGCAGAAAAACAATAACAGTAACAATACAACAAGACACTATTAAAAACTGGGCCGGCCGGAGTAGGGGTACAGGATTAAAAGTGCTGATGTGGCGGGAGGAATGTAGGATTATAATATAAGTGCGGTGTGCAGTGTGCAGTGATCTTGGTTCTACTAAGGTGCTTCTAGGATTTGGTGCTGGGATTCCTAATCTGAAAAGGCACATTGGAACAGCCAAGTTTTCAATTCCTTCCTGAAGGCTGCCAATGTAGGGGCTTGTCTGAGATCTTTCGAGAGGGTGTTCCAGAGTCGGGGGGCCACCACAGAAAAGGCTTTATAAATAGCTTTATAAACAAGCACCTTGGTATCCCTGATATCGAGCTGCTTTTAGTAGGGTCTCCTCAGCGGAGGGGATCCCCAAGGACCGCGTAAAAAGGGCCCCGAAACCTTGGTGAGGCCAGCGGAAGTCAATTTCAGCAATTTAAAATATTAAAAATAATAACCCTCACCAAAGCGGAGGAAGTTCCAAGCGATCGAGGTGATTTATTTAGTGATTCAGCTGATATCGGATGCATTGCAGGAATCACTGACTTCCGCTAGCCTCACCAAGGTTTCAGGGCCCTTTTTGCGCGGTCCTTGGGGATCCCCTCCGCTGAGGAGACCCTACTAAAAGCAGCTTGATATCATTTGGCAACCACGAAGGGATTCCTGCTTGGAGGTCCAAACCAAATTATAGCCCAAATTTCTAAGCAGGCACCTTGGTCCTGAATCTTTGGGCCAGATCGCAAGGAGGAACGGCTTGGGAAAAAGAGGCGCCTCACTCATAATTAAGGGATAGTGACTTGTAGTTCTGCAAAGGGCAAGGGCACCAGACTACACAACAAGGGTTAAGACTTGGTCACATTGCCAAGGCACTGACAACAACAAGGACCCCACGAGGCTTTTTGAGAAATGGCTGGTTCTTGGGACTTCTGCCCTTTTGTGAGAGTTGTAGTTCCCCAAGGGCTGAGCGATGGATTCTGTTATTGATCAACTCAGCGCCCATCTGCTGACTTCTGCAGGGAGAAATGACTCTTTGCTGTCTGACTTGGACTGCAAACCACCTCCGCTTCCACATCCCTACGGATGTCCCAGTCCTCAAACACTCTCTGCTTCATTTGGAAAAATGCTGCACTCGCAGAGCTCAGACGGTGTTATATTTCGGTGTCGACGTTGACTTTGGTGGAGAGTTGGCTGCTAAGGTAGAGGAAATGGTCACCATTTTCTAATGTTACACCATTAAGCTGTATCTCTGGCATTGGAGAGGAGTTGCCTCTCCAATGCCAGAGAGGCAATCCCTCTCCATAATATAAAACCTTCCCCAAAGTGAGATTCCTGTTTTAGAGGAAGGAACTGGCAAAACTTCCTTGCCAAAGACAACGCTCTGACTCGCACGGGGTCCTTGCCAGACCCACAAGACCCGCACTCCCACAAAGTTGCATTGGTCTCTTAGAGGAACTACATCTCCCAGCATGCCTCAGTCTTCCAGGGCAGGGCAAACCCTCTTCCTTTTGAGCGACGTGCTTCTCCACGAATGGGAAGAGCGCGCCGGGCTTTGGAGGCTTGAGAATCAGGAGGGCTCAGCCCAACCCAGGCGCTGCGGGGAGCCGCTCCGTTTCTTGCTCAGTCGGGGCAGGGAAGGGCTTGGAGTCGGATGGGAGCCGTGGAGGGGGTCGTCCTGGGTTGGATCTACACTTCATGCGATGGGTGAGCCAATCCACCGGCAAAGAGCGGTGCTTTTCGGGCTTGGATGTTGGGTACCGTGCGCCTTCGCCGGTGCGCCCTCGCCGTGCGCTTTTACGCACGGAGTTTGGGAACTTGTTTTTGGCACCGCTTTCCTGGCACCGTGGAAGGAGCCTGTGAACGGGAAATGGATCGGGTGTGGAGTGAGCATTGCCCCCGACGCTTATCTGCTCTGACACTCGTGTTTGATCTCGTGTGTGTCGCGTACAAAGTTGGGGAAAGTTCCTTTTTATCCGAGCGCGCGCGTGTTGGAAAACTGAGGCGAGGAAGGTTTGCGGTTGCTTGGCATTCTCGACATGCCTCTTGGCTCCCTTCCTTAGGTATCTACAGTGTCGAATTAACGCGGGTTGGTGTCGCTTTGACTGCTGTGCTCAAGGTAATGGCATCCTGGGATGAGTAGTTTCACAAGGTCTTCATCAGCCAAGAAGTACCAGTGCCAGATTCCAATGATTCCCTGACATTGAGCCAAGGCAGTCAAAGTGATGCCAAAACTACATTCATTCCACACTGTGTTGTTGTTGTTAAACTAGATTCGATAAGGTTTTAAGGCAGGCATAGGTCAACTTCGGCCCTTCTTCAAGTGTTTTGGATGTTTTGGACTTCAACTCCCACAAGGCTGTTAGGAATGGTGGGAATTGAAAAGGGTGTTGTTTGTGTTTGGATGGAAGGTAATATCAGTTTGGTCATTCCTGACTCTTGTCTGGCTGGTTGAAATCCAAAGTGGCTGGAGAACCAGTGCATGACATCATACTAACTCTGACTTATCCACATATGTGTGTGCATGTGTGTTAATTTCATTCTTAATTTCAAACTTGATCCTACGTTTTGTGTATATTAATAGGTATTTGTGGGAATATGTGCTAATATTCTGGTGTCACAGTGGGTTAAACCGCTGAGCTGCTGAACTTTCTCACGGAAAGGTTGCCAGTTTGAATCCGGGGAGCGGGTTGAGCTCCCGCTGTTAGCCCCAGCTCTTGCCAACCTAGCAGTTTGAATGTAATAATAAT